TAGCATTAAACCGCGTAACGCTTCATAAACCTATACTTAGACGACCCTGAACAAGTGCGAATTTATGAAAGGTGGGAAGTTGCGTATGAATGAAAATACTGCAAAGGCGTTCGTCTACAAAACGATGCTGAGCAGTACCAGGACGGTAATTAATAATCGTAAAGTATTGCCAGCAAGGAAAAAGGAGATAAAGAACGAGAAGAAGTAGATGTGATCGCCAGGACAAAAATAGTCATTTTTAACTGGTTTCCTATCTCAGTTTCCCTTGTCTTTGTCAGAAGTACCCATTTATAAAAAAAACTATCCTGGCGGCAGGTAAGGATGACTTGTATGCTCTTAATAGAAGAGGATAGAAACAGGGACTACCCATAATACAGATGGCTTGGGGACAAAGTAAGGAAATTCGAGTAAGGTTTATCGTTAAGGTTCGGATTAACTATAGGGTTTAAGTTTCCGTTGGGGTTAGGATACAGGAATATTTACTCTTCTTGAAGTTATGCGCGGGGTCATCTTTACTACTTAAGCGGGGATTCCTATTCCCGTGTACCGTTTAGGCAGGCATCCTTACCTGACGGAACTTTTTATATGACATTTAGGCTGAACTTGTCAAGCATTAATTGCTAACCTTTTTTACTAAAGCACCGGAGATCAGTTATTGCCAACAAACGAGTTAGAATTGAGTAGCATGTCTAAAAATAAATGAAAAAATGTCACAGTAATAGGCTAAGAGGCACGGGCGGCCATTGGTAGGCCTGCAGTAGCATAGCAACAGCCGTACAGCCTGGGGCTGACAACCAACATTGTCATGTCCGGTGTCCTTGTTCAATGCCCACCGCAACTTCGCAGCCAACTGTTTCCGACTCGCGCACCGGCAAACAGTTGACCAACTCCCACTCCCACTCGCACATACACACACGTGCGTCCAAATAGTCGCGGCTGCCTAAGGGCCACTTGGACACGCTACCCCTCGGCAGATGCAGCACGGACCACTAGACGCCCCGCCCCATCGGGTAATGGCAACATACACTGACTGGTGAACACTTGCAACAACCCTATAAAATAGGCTGCCACTGCTGTCTCACCCTCTATCGAGTGCATGAATAGACAGTCAACATTGGCCTTGGCTTCGTCAGTGGCCACTGCTGCTTGGGACGGCAACTAGAAATTCTATTTTCACTATCTTCCTCTCACGGGTTCTTTTTGCCTTTTACATAAGACTGGGGATTTGGCCTGATAACTGTAAAGGTCTGGGTAATAGCACTGCTTAGACGCCACAAACCCACTACTCTTATCTGATTTTGTCTCTGATGATGGATCCGAGTTGAAATCCGAAAAGTAAAGCAAAGAAAGCTCTTTTCCTAACGACTGCATCGCCTTCTTTGCCATTGATTAGAAGGTAGAAACCTCGATGGGTCTCCACGCGATGCGAAAAGACATCCCAGCTTTTGGTCGAGAACTCTTGCTACGGATAAGTTCCCATCATACCCCAACATAACCCATTCCCACCTTATATTCCTGTCGGTGAAACTAAACAATGGAATGGCCCCCATCAGAGGAGACTAACTAGTTCAATTTGTTTTATCCGTACGCTTTTGACTGCTAGGTCGCTTCAACTTTCTGTCTGCCCGATATTTGTATTTTTACCACCCAGGTCAGTCAAACAGCAATTGCAACTAAAAATATCTAAAGGATGAACACGGAGCAGTTCATGCTTGTGGTCTTCCCGCAGATAGATAAGGAGGACTTTACTTCTTGTCAAATGCATACGACACTAATCGTGTAAAAAGAGGGGACATTTTATGTCGAAGTTTCAAAAAGCCAAAACAAGCAATTTTTTGCTCGTCAAAAATGAACCAAACGATGTTAGTTAGAATCAGCAACACTGTAGTATATTGCATAAATATACACAAAAACCGTCCGGTGAACCCGTTTACCAACAGTGAAGTTTGAAGCGATGGCAGACCGTTGGGCGCGTTTCCAGACCACCAGCAGTGATTTACGTGTCTGACATGCTATCTGGTTAGAAGTCGCGCACCCAGCCGCCGACTGTAACGAATGGCGGGCATTAGAGACGTGGAGTGCTTGTAGCATACGGCCATCTAAGTCAGTCATGACGAAAGCTTTCAAAAGGCAAACTTTGTCAGGGATTTAACCTGAAAAAATGTCGAGCATCATGGCACCGGTTGTTAGGCCAACCGACTTAACAACCTCACCCACAGTGATGTCGACTGTCCACAGGTCACTGACGCCATCACAACTGGCACGTAATCAGCGAATTTGATGTCAACACCCGGTGAAACCTAACACCTCCGAAATTCCACAATACTCTATCGGGTATCCGACCAACAGTACTTTACATAAAGGGTCAGCCACATGGTCCTGCAAAAACACGAGGTCAATCTGAAGAGAGTTCGCGGAGTGTTTGCTGACCACGTTAGATGCAAACAAAATGCTTTTAAAATATCACGAGGTGCTACTGGAGGTGCTTTTGACAGTTGCTAGCCGATAGTCTAACTGTTATAAGCAACTATGCTTTCAAATCTTCGTAAAAAGGAAGCAGCACTACACCGTATTTGATGCTGCGAGGCATTACATCGGGGCCTGCTCAGAGACAGAGTAAGACCAAGTCCTGGGAGTACAAGTTAGGCAGAAAACATATTGTTACTTATGAACAAAAAATATGATAAAAGGCGGCCGAGACTTAAATGACTATGCTTCGTACATTTATTGTTTTCGGACGACAATACTTTGATCGCAGATGGGTTAGACCTGGGGCTTGAATGCAGACTTAGTTAGTCAGGGGTCGACCCTCTGGAGTAGATATCGGGAAGTTACAGTAAAAGTTGTATCACATTAAACGTTTATCGTTTTCAAAAGATAAACTAAGTAGGGTGGGAAACTCTAATTATCACGTGGCGTAAGCTCAAGGTATTTCGATTACTTCAGACAGTCGGCTTTTGAGGGAGCTTCTTTCCGGCCGTCTGTGAACTCTAAACTCTGTAAATAATGCCTCCTTAAGTATGCAGTATGAATTTATATCATGGATTTTCAATGCCTCCATAAATTCAAATGTCTTTTGTGGAAAAGATGTACGAAAACATTATTTTCTGTAAACATTTCGTGGAAAATTACTTCCTCAAACTTTATACCCGACAAAGGGGTATCTTTTTTTGTCATTGCCGCATAATTTTGAACCCGACCTTTGGTTAGACTTGCACCCAGAGCTTTTTTTTAAAATTATATGATGCATATATTCCGTCTAAATAAAATCACACATTTCGCTTCGCTATGAGGAAGATGTTACATGGTGTTCATAAAAATGTGCAATGGACGTGGACCCTGCTGTATGCTTCATGAGCAGTGCTGATAAATGGATAGGTATGATGCTTTATAGACGGACATTTCGCAAACTTGAAAAACCTCATAATCATACAATTTTTTTTTAAACTGAAGAATACCTTTTCTGTAAGTACAACATTTTAAAAAGTATGTAATTTTCTACGAACTGAATACAAGAAAGCATATTTTCAGGCATATTTTCTGTAAAATATTGTGAAATTTATAAAATCGTCGGAAATCAGTGAGAACAAGGCATTTTACACAATTAGTTATTTTTTAAGAGTTTGGTTTTTGCCGGTAGCCGAAAAGAAGCTTGTTC